GCGCAAGTGTAGCTATAGAACAAAGGGACCCGTCCTTCACAAAAGATGATAATTATTGTTATAAGAAAGTCTTTACAAACATGAAAATGTTAACGAGTATAAAAACTTCATCCAAACACTGAAAAACGTCGTCTCTGAGAACTTCCAATATCACAGGTAATGCAACTTAGTGATCAGTATYTTACAGCTGAGCAAACTTTGGTCCAATGGGAGACTTGGGTTTTAAGCGAAAGTCAGATAAGGAAAATTGGTGAGTCGTCAAAAACCTTCGTAAATTAATCCGAATAGCTTTCCGTGTGTCATATCGAGCATTGCAGACAGGTGTCGGCACAGAGATCTTTTATTAARAAGAGCAATAATAACTTTCAGTTATATATGCTAAATGATCCATCCATTAAGTCCTTTGTACACATCTCACATTCGCCATCCATTCCTTGATTATTAGTTTTTTTGTACGTTTCCATGTTGTTCTTAATTTCATAGTTCCACAAATGATTTACTCGACTGARTGGTGGGTTGGCGCGTGTAAAATTCGCAAACTGCCAGTTTCTGAGCACTGACTACTGACTTTCATTTTTCAAAGTTTTATTATGTTCAGATTGTCCTCATCTCTGACTCCGGAAATTTATTGTTACTTTTACAGTAAGCGAGTTCTGATTGAATTGAAGAAGAACACTCTTGAACGAGGAAAAGCAAACTTAGATGTAGATCAAGTTCAAACTCAGCTGAAAACTCCATCCCATAAAAAAGCGGGAAACAGGAAGCGCGCGCGTAGGCTGAAACAAAAAGGGCGGGAGTTCAAAATCAAAGAGGACAACATATGATAAACAGCTTATTAAATTCTCTTGCTTGGTGTTGTACAGAAAATTACCAGACCTCGGTCTTGATCTGTATCTTTCTTTTTGGTGAGAATAAAGGCGCGCGTTTATTGTCGTTTATTGTCAACGATATTGTTCGTCATCCAAAAGGTACACGAGCAATGTTTTGGAAAACGCAGAGTCTGTATGCAGCCCGGCACAGTCTTAAATAAACTAAATGCCGGARAGCCCAAAATTTMTCAAAACTATCGAGGGAATTGCAGCCAATAAATGAGTCAAACTAGTTCTGCTTTGTATAGAAATATCAAGTGCTTCTTTTGGGCTAAGCGAATTTAAATAAGTAGGTGCTTTCTTCTTTCGGCATACTGTGCAAACAAATTGGCACTTTCGCCATTCAATGCACTACCTGACCGAGTGTTGGGCAGTCTAAACTTATTACGGATCGTATTACAGCATCGATATAGTTGCTGGTCTAGCCTGCGTGGCGGCTCTAGGGGAAGGGGGAGGGYGAAAACGGAGGGGGTGGGGAGGCTCCGCTGGTCAGATTTAAAAACATCATTTCTTGAATCTTTTTACACACGACATTCACCTTGTCATGCAACGCTAGGAAAACATCTGTTCAGCAGGTTAATTGGACAAATTTTATTGTAGAATTTTCTTTTTCAAATTTGATTTTTGTTTCTCGTCGTTTTTTGTAGTATACCCATCTTGTCGCTCAACATGGAGACGACCTACTATTCTGTTCACAGTGCTTTCCTCGAGAAACATTGTGTTTTAACAATATGTTGTCTTAGTTGCCATAGGGARTATACTACTATCATAACATAATGTTATTTTAT